ATTCCATGCAAAAGAAAGACGATAAAGTGGGCAAAAAAAACTGCCAATAAAGAAGGAAAAGAAGGAAAAAAAGAGAGCGAGAGAGAAAGATCGAAATAGATTCGCAAAAAATAAAAATAAAAGAAGTCCAAATATTGGCGTTTGCGCATGCGTGGAAAACAAATAAGCTGTTTGATTACACCAGTCGGAAAATACGCCTTTTTTTCATTCGAAACTCATTTTTAGCCATTCTTATGATAATTAGCCGAAAACTAGTCTAAGGAAGAGGAACTGGTGAAAAATGCGGTTTTTTCGCTTCTAGCCGGCCGTCACCAAAGGGTCAAGAAGTGACAATCTATGTGGAGACCTTTCTACGCCTTCTTTCAACAGTACTCTGACTCGTTTTTTCATGTTTGGTGGATTTTCAAAATTTCATTTAAACGTTGTCTCAACATGGTCGAAACATTTCTTTTGTTGTGTTGTTGGTAGAGCCTCTCTTTCAGTGCATCCCTTTCAACTTTGATCAGGCACCAAACGTCAATCTTCGGAAAATATCTGTTCGGAAGACGTTTTGATATCTAGAATTTTCGGAACATTTGTTGTAAAATTTCTTGCTTGCCTGCCTCTCCTAGGATTTTCAAACATCTAAAAAATGGAATAATTGCCCATTTTTAACGGATATTTACCCTAAAAAGGTCACCTAGAATATTCGGGAGCCTCTTTTCTGGCTGAGTCTAAGTTTTGATCCCTATAATTTTCGGATCACTAGACTTTCAGCTAGGAAATCCGAATAGATGAAAAATTTTTAGGGGATAAAAATATGCCTATATTTACTGTTTAAATACTAAAATACGTTTAACAATGCTATGTTTAAGTGGTTTTGAACTATATTTTCTTTGGGTACTCCTATTTGATGAACACGTGCAAACACACTCAGTACATCCCTTTTTGCGGTGATAAACGGCACATGCAATTCACGTTTATCGAGGGAATGTCGAATGATCAATTGACAACTGAGAAGGCATTGTCTGACGGCTCGAAATAACTTAACAAACTCTGTCAAGAATATTAAAAGAATATCAAAACAGCTTTACTAGAATTTTAAACAATTGCCCAGTGTATTATCTGTAAATGGTCGTAATCTTCTGAACGTTACATGTTTTGACTCATGATGAGGACGAAGAGAGGGCAAGAGAACGCCACTGTCGTCTTTACTTTCTCCGACATCTCTTGTTCTGCTGGACACGAAAGTGAAAATTCTTCTTCACTTCTGTTTTGTCTTGGAATTTTTAGCTTGCGTGTTGTTGCTCATGATTAATTGCCGGAAGTTAAACCACTCGGCGCTTACTTAAACTCCTTATTCCCTTAAGATTACTTGTATTCCAGAAATAAACCAGCGAAGTTTCGAGAACTCTTGATTTTAGCCAAAGCGGAACATCATTAACAGGAAACCAGTTTTAAATATTTAAAAATATTCTGGGCTTGTACCCGCGTTGAAGCATTTAACACTTGAATAATTTCGAAACAATATACATGTACAGAACTAGGCGTGTTTATCGAATCCAACTTCCAGGACTTTCAAGGTTTTTAATTTTATATGCCATCCGGAAATAGGATTAACTTTCTTACACTTTTTTATTATTATTCATTTAGTTCAAAGATTCATTTCCTGACTAAAGTTATTATAAAACGCTTCGATTGCTATACTATTAACAACTTTCCTGTTTCGTTTAGTATTGCCAAGAGAGACAGAGAGAGAGAGAGAGAGTAATTATGCTCTCTTGGTACTGATTGCGCATTCAAGTTTACTGTGTCAGTGGCTATTACGTCATTCATAGCCTCTTGAATGTATTTATTAGTATACTTTTAAGAGGCCAATAAGTTCATGTTTTTTGTAGACCTCATTGACTTTTGTTTATCTGAATAAATAGCTGCAGTCTACTAAGTTGACGTAAGTTGAGTGAAAACTTCAATATTTTGTAACAGTGTAATCTGTCGAAAGTTTACTAAGCGATAGGTAAAAACAGAAGATTAATTGATTTTGGAATCTTGAACAGAAAAAATATCGAACAAAGGAAAAGACTTGTGGATAATCAGCCAGATGAAAACTGTAACCTACTTTTTCTCCGCCCTAGAAATAGTTTTTCAGCTCGAAAGCCGTCACCAGTTTAATAGTCCGTACTTTTAAACTGAGTCTAGGAGACGTTTTTCTCTCTCTAGAAGAGGATATAAAAGAGACGGGGATGCCCTTGAGAAATTTAAGAATAAAAACCCCAAAAGGTGACAAGTTTGGGCGTGGCTCAAGCTTTATTTCACTCCCAAAAAGAGACCATGTTTCAACAGAACATTTCGGCGTCCGTTTTTATGTATGGTATTTCTTCATGAACATCCCTAAGGCCCGATTAAGACGCCGAACTTTTCATGAGCCGAACCTAATTCGAAATAAGGCCAATCTAAACTATTTAGACCGCCTTAATTGATTCAGACACCGATCTTAATTCCAGCCGAACTTAATTAATTCAATAGGAGAAAAATGCTCATTTTGGTGAAACTGTTCGCAAAATACGTTGTCATAATTTATGCATTAGGTTCTCGGTACATGAAAAGTTCGGCGTCTGAATCAAAGCCGTTCCAAAGTCGCTCCAAAGGCGAAATTCCCGGCCGAGCTAGGCGAAAAGAACGGCCGAGCCGTTCGAAATTGAGACAGGCGTTCCTAGTTGATTCAGACGTCGAACTCTTCATGTACTTCAAATATAAAAGTATTAGGTTCGGCTCATGAAAAGTTCGGCGTCTGAACTGGGCCTAAGCTATAATACTGGCGTTCTGTGCTGAAAACCATAAGGCCCCTAGTCTAATGCAAACTGGGGCGCTTATTAAGTACTTTTAGATACATTTTATTGCCACTTTCGTACTATCTTCAAGCAACTTTTAATTTTTGCCAAAAGTGTGTGTGTGTGTGTGTGTGTGGGGGGGGGGGGGGGGGAAGGGGCCCCCCAACCCCCCTCCTTTTCCGCCCCTGTTTAAGGGCGGGGGGACCGAAAAAAAAGGGGGGAGAAGAAAAAACAGCAATGTTTGCACCAAGTTTTAAAATAGACTGTAAAGTTGGGAAAAGTTTTAAACAACCGTAAACTCAATAAACAAGGCACTATTTTTGGGAAAAATAAAAAAGTAGGGGGGGGGGGGGGGGGGGGGGGGGGGAGGGCACGGGCCCACCTACCCCCCTACTCTTACGGCCCTGATTTAGAGCGAGGAGATCGAGAAAGAATGGAGGAGAAGAGAAAACAGCAATGCTTGCACCCAGTCTTTAAATTGACTGTTCAGTTGGAGATAGTTTTTGAACGACGTGTACTGCATGAACATGGACTATATTTTGGGAGAAATTAAACACGTTTTCAAAAATCTAACAAGATATGCAATCCATAAAACATTGAAACAAAAAACTTAGGCTGCGGCGCCCTAGGGTCTCTCAGAGTTGCCAAAAAAAAAAAAAACAACTGGATTATTGAGCCCATCATATAAAAAACTATAAATAAACGACGGGTTAAGGGCGGACTAACCTCTTTTTGTTTTCTCCCCTCGTGTTGTCGTTCAGTTTGAGCAAAAATCAAACTTAAATATACTATCAGTATACTATCAGTTTGCAATGCGAGGTGGGCGTTTACAACTTTTCTACAGGTATCTGACGAAACTTAAGATCATGTTTGCATGAACAATCCCAAACGGTGTATTATACAATTAATGATTAAATTAGAGAGCCAAAAGTAAGTATGAAGCGAAGGCTATATGCCCCCTGGCAGAAAATTGCTAAGAGATAACTAAAGCAACAGAGAGGGACCTTAAACGGGTACGGATCACTCTGCCGGTAGTTTTACGTTGCTTGACATTCGTTATGACAAATTAAAAAGAGACACAAAGAAAAACTTGGAAACGTGAGGGCCATGCAGACAGCCCCTTTCTTGAAGCAGTGTGTTTATCCGGCGTGTGGGGCCTTTGTTCATGTTTGTTCTTTGCCAAAACTCCGCTGTGTAGCTCAAGCCTGTTTAAAGAGGGATTAACGCTTTCCATCAATCGTAAGTTTAATTGCTTTTTTAATTTTTTCTTAAAAAAGTATCCCATAGCTAAAATTTATCGACATTTTAAAAAGAAATTTTAAAACGTCGCTTGCTCGATCGAGCGTTTGCTCGCCACTTCTTATCTAAATAGTATTTTTAGCTCTTTGGCTAGAGACGGAACTAAATTTGCATAACTTAAACGGTGTAGTTTACGTCAAAGCCCCAACAATATCGTTTTAAGAAAATGTTTTGATCCACCCTAATCTTTCATAGAAAGACTTTTCCGGGACTAGGTTATTTCAACTCGTTTGGATTCGTTCTAATATCCGTCTCTACCCGCAGGAGTGTCTGGTTTTGTTTGTGGCGGAAAGGGACGAAAAAACATTTGCATTTGGCTATTTCCTTTCCGATAACTTAACCTCATGTAATACAATCAAACCTTAACAGAGTTTTATATCGCTTTTTTTCTTAATCATCTTTTCCAGACGGATAGTTGAGTAAAGCCACTCAAAGTGACAGCTATAATAGAGCAGAGCCAATCAAAAAACTCGCTGAAAGGCAATAGTCAATGAGGACAATTTGTACTTTTGTGGAGAGTAGGGTAGGGGAAACACTACGATCCGTTTTTAATGGGATCTTTTTTAGTTTTAATGATTGTAGTGTCAAGATTCTGCACAGTCTTACTGATAAAATGAAAATTTGAGTTTTAAATTCAAAAATAGTCGCTTTGGGATTCATATATTGAAATTTTATTAACAACCCCTCCCCCTGGATAGTCAAAATTCATACCCTTGCCTACTTATAGTCGCGCGAATATGCTGTTTTGGTCGATGGCCATTCACTCGAGTGAGCGTCAAACAAGTTTCCTTTAACAATTTCCCCTTGTATATGTGTTATTTTTTAACCAGAGGGTTTGATTGTCAGCTTTAACTCATGGTTCATCGAAGCAGATAGCACTGGCTTCATAAAATGCCTAAAAAGAAAAGTGGTGTCGGTTGTTTCGGTTCTCGCTCAAATCACCCCGAAATTCGCTATGGAATCGATCATTCTCGAGGAATGCAGATGCTTCACGACTTCTCGCAACCGATGCCTGAAGAAAGCGAACTTAATGCTAAGTTCGCGGAGATCGTGGTAAGTAAAGGATAAACGAACTTTTAGGTTTAGTTTAGGCGACTGAAGATCAACAGTTATCGAGTTGCTAGCACTTTAAAGTTCAATACGTAACTTGCTCTTCTTTGACATTAGAACGGAGGCGGTGTCAGACCGAAATCAATTTGTTGTTTATAATTCAAACACGTGCCCATCTTTGAAGAAAAAGCCTTAATTTCTCTCCTGTATGGAAAAAGACTCTTTGCTTTCGGGAAAAATAACTTGAAGGAGATTTGATTTATACTCAAAGGATTCTAAAGAAATATCCCCAATGGGCTTTTGTACTTCAGTGAGCTTAAGTTAATTACAATTCTGAAATTCCTGTCTTTCATTTTGGTCTAATACCTCTCCAATTGATGGTCTTGCACAGTCTACAGCTTGTAAGCGATGTACAAGATGAATTTTTGCCATTGAGACATTACTTTTTGTCGACGTCTGGTTTGGCAAACTTGTATCATAAAATCTGGAAGTCAAATTTATTTAACTTTCAATTCTGGTTTATTGATCAATTTATGCCTAGACTTCAGTTCGTTTTATTCCATTTCCGACTGTTTTACGACTCAGACATGTCAATAAAGTTGCATTTCCAGTCATCAATGGTCGGACGATTAAATCTCAAGCATTGTTGTCGGAATAGGTTTATCGATCGCCAAAGTTGTCAATGATCGAATAGTGTCGCGATCCTTTGGTGATAAAATAAATATTTTGTACATTCAGTAACTTGAAATAAAGTGTTTTACTTCCTTAGATCTTAAGGAGAATGTATTTTTCAGCGATTCTCTAGCTTAAGCAGGACAACTGAGATGGTCATAGTTTCGATGATGTCTCAGTTTTAATTAACCAACCAGAATTTACGAGGTACATTGCGTTAAATGCTGCTATAGTAAGAAATCGGACAAGCTTAAGTTAACAGCTTATTTCATCGGTAAATTTAAAACGAAATACAAAAATCCTTTGCCTGTATACAATATTGGACGCTATGATGCTTGAGTTTACAAATAATTCTACGCAGCGATAGTACAGACGTCAAGAATTATTATCAATATTTGTGTGTTTGTTGTGTTCTTTCAGGAGGAACTTGACCTCACCGCCGTACATAAGAAGGCAATGTTTGAATTGCCACCTGAAAAAAAATGGCAGCTTTATTTATCTAAGAAGAAGGTAAGCAACGCTGAACTGGAAGAGAATACATTAAATCAAAGTTTTTTGAAACCTGTTGATATTATGCACAGCATATTGTGCGAACTCATGTTTATACTATATTAATTCTACCAATGTTAAAAGAGTAATGGCTGTCATGTATGGTGGAGTTCCTGCGGAAAATTGCAAATTATGCTCTATTAATTACATATACCTATACTAAAATAATTTTTCCATTTGAAACTTATTTTTTTTGATCCGGAAGAAATTTTTCAGATATATCTGTTTATAAATCAGGTCCTAAGGGAATATGGATTGAAGCTGTATCTAGAATCTTTATTATGCTTGAAGTTGTCTTATTTGCATTTTGAAAGTATATATAATGATAAATTATTTCTTATTGTCTGGCTTGCAGCTGTTTTTTGTTTTAAGTCAACCGAGCATCACTTGTTGATTTGTGGAAATCCACTCTCTATTGCAAATGTGTTTATAAAAATTCTATTAATTCTTTAAATCTGTTACTTAATACTTGTTTAAAAACACTATTGTTATCTAACTGGAATCCTCTGAGAATTTATATTATATAAATTAACATGCTTTGTTTTTATTTTGTGGTTGGACAAAGCTATTGTCCTAGGCAGACTTTTCATTGCCACTCCTTTTTTGAAAACTCATGACTGTCACATTGTTGCAAAATATATGATATAAATAAATAAATAAATAAATAATTAAATATATAAATAAATACTCAATAGTCTAGATTAACCTGTGAAGTCATCAGAACTGTTGCTTAAGTTTTTTTTTGTGTGTATAGTATCTTCTTTCAATCAGTTGTTAAATTGAAAATCCATTTCTGAATTATAGGTTATAGTTCCTTGAATTTAGTAGCCTTTTTAGTCGAGCTTGCTTTAGCAGAGCGAGACTCTAAAAATGCAGTCGTTTCTTTTTTTGTCGGTGGGACCTAGTTTGTAGGCCACGCGTTCCTAACAAAGACCGCGGATACTGGAACTGGGGATAAGAATTGTGGTGACTATCACTGTATGCAAATGAGTCTTGTGATGAGCATGCAGTATATTTTCGGCGATGACTGAAATGACGCATGTAAGTTTGGCAATGAATAGAGGCCCTTGATTTTCATGTAGTTATGCATGACATGTAGGCATATTAGAAAGGAAATATCCCCAAGTAGGATAAGAAAATATTATAGTGGGGAAATCCTATTTTGTGCTGTTTTAAGGCATTACGTTTCTCAGAATATTGTCACGATTACTAGAAATCTACGGTTAAATAGATTCAGTTTGATTGTGTATTTAATTGATACATTTTTGCAGTTGTTGGTGACTTGTTAAGATGTGAAGTCATGTTGCACTTTGTAAATACTTGAGATATCAAGTATCCACTGTCACATAATTTTTATGTGCCTACGTGCGTAAAATTTTACGTTCTCAAATGAAATAGAGGCAATGTATGAAAGGTCACACGTACAATTATGTAAGTGTAAAGGTAGAAACTTACTTGCTCAACTTGACGTTTAATCTCAACGCTTTATATCTTACCTCTATATTATTTACGTGATTAAAATTTACGAGCGTTAACGTGCGGAGCCAAAAACGCATCAGTGGAAATCCACCCTAACGTTATGTAAGTGTCATGGATGTGTTTATACAGGTAGCTTTGAACTTGACTATCCGCGCACTCTACTTGCAGCACTTCATGTCCATAGAATAGAAATCCCATATCAAGCTTTTCTGGAACAGTTTGGTCCAAGAATTCTATCGCTTGAAAGTGTTGATTATTTTGGAACAACCGATCACTTCAGTGGTCAAAAAAAAAAGAATAATCTTAATGAGCAAAACTTCAAGGTTTACTGGAAAATCAGGATCGAGGATCCAGGATCGAGGAATCAGGGATCGAGGATCGGTTAAAAAGAACTTGAAAATAAAATGAATGAATAAATCGTGGACCAGTGGTGATGTGGGTCTCAGACTGTAGATAAATTTCACAGAACATAACCCCGTTCGCTGTACTGAACACTAAATACAAGAAAACTAATCCGAGTCTGTCCGAGTCAGTGATTGTTTTGACGAGAAAGTGAAATTTTCAAACGAAAAAGTAAGCGCCTTTGACAACAAAAGTTATCTCCAAGCAAGCGAGACTCAACGCTATTAAGAGCGTTCTTGTTGTTTTATTTATTTGGCAACAGTTTTTGGATAATTTGTTTGTAATCTTTAGCAAACCTCCTGTACTTAACCCAGAGACACTTTAAATGCCTTAACCTATTAAGCCCCAATATCCACATACAAATTCTCCAAACTGATCTCCATACATTTTCTTTATGAATTAGTTGAGAGAATTTAATATCAGATCAAGGCATTTCTCTTTGGTGATCATTTTGTTAATTCTCATGACCTTATCTCTTGACTATGTATGGATATTGTTAGGAGAAAAATTGATGTTGGTCACTATTGGGACTTAAAGGGACCACACACCACTAACATCAGTGTTCTTGTTGTGTCTGCACTTCATTAGGCATCGGAGATTGGAGAATTCTCCTTCTACTACACAGTATTCTCTGACTAACATGCAATAGCCTATGACTGTTTTCTATTCAGACATGGAGCCTCTTTCACGATATTCTCCTGTAAAGTTACACCTTTCTCGTGCTACTAGAACTCTCAGTGAAAATGCTGTGGAACCCAAAATTACTGTGGCCCTTTTAACGGGGTGGCTGTATTATTGTGTAGGGTCTTTTAATGGTTGCTTAGCCTTTCATAGACAACTAATTGACAGATATATCACAATGCAGGGTTGTTAGAAAGTTTTGAAGTAGATGGCTGAGTTGTCAAAGTAAGCAGCCAGTCCATTGATATTTTATTTAAAAAACGCCATCCAAAAAGAAATGCTAAGTAGAGTAGCTGGCTGATACTAACCAAGTAGGCAGTGATTCTCGCCGGCAGCCAGCTACTTTTGACAACCCTGACAATGCCCTAAGACTTCAAGGTTGTCATTACGAATGACATCCCATTCCCCAGACACTTTCAGTTCATAAAGCATGTTTTTTTTTGTTTTTCGTTTTTATTTCTAGTTTGTCACTTGGATGTTTTCTCCATAAGTAACTGTTGTTTTGTTTGAGAGGCTACATCAGTGTTAAGAATCTTATAATGAAATATTTCACAGTGTATAATTCCAGAAAAAATAATGATTTATGTATACCTCCGCAATGGAAGAGATTTTTTTTCTATGAAACCCACCCCTGTGGAGGTTTCATTTAAGCTCCATTTTTTAAACTTTTACATGCAAGTCTTTGAGATCCCTGCACGCCCCCCCAGAAATTTCCAATCCTTTATGTAAGGGGAGTATGGAGATGTTCAGAGACTACCCAGTGTGACCATTGACTGCTTAAATGACCTTCCATTTACAGGGTTTTGACAAAAAATGCATGTGCATTTTGCTGGGAGCAACTAATTGCCCAAATTTCCTTGGGTGTAACAATGTTTGTGGAGGGATGACTTTGATGCACAACTTGCGCAGGACAAAGAAATCTTCCTAAGCATGCCTAGATGCATAACAGCCATTCTGTTAAATAGGCCAGTGAAACAGGCCAAACATTTGACATTTGGCTGGAAAATTGAATTGATGATCTAGACATCCCTGCTCAGGTTTTTTTGCATTCGTCGAGGTTTGACCAATGAATGCTGTCTTTAGGGGCTGGCTTGTAATAGAAATATAGCAAGGAGAAAAAAATGCGTTGGGATGAAGGACAAAAACAGATAAAAGTCAACTTTGCTTTTTAAATTTTTGCCTTGGAATTTTGCTTTGGGCCCTAAACCATTAACAACTACAGTCACACCTGTTTTAAACAGACACCCAAGAGTGTCACAAGATTGCTCATTTAGGACAGGTGTCCAATAATAATTAAGGCATGTAAAAAAAGAGTGTATATAATTATGTTTCTTTGACCTTGACTAAGGTTTGTTTATTGGAGGGGTCCATTGACAGGTGTTTGACTGATTTATTGTTTTGTTAAAGCGCAGCAGCATTAGCTCAGTCAGTAGAGCACTTGACTGCAAAGCAGGAGGTCGTGGGTTTTATTCCTGGGGCCGGATCAATACTCAGGGTCTCAAAATTTATAACTGAGAAGTGAAGGTACTCCCTTTGCACTGCAAGCGGCTAGACCTTCGTGTGGCTCGGATGACCACGTAAAATGGAGGTCCCATCTCCAGTTGGAGATGTAAAAATAGTATCCCCAATATATTAGTACTTTTGTGCTAAATACATTGAGAAGTAGCACCACAATAGAAAATCGCAGATCAAACAGAGCTTCCTTACGATCTATAGAGTGTTCACTTACTAGAGATTATTGGACTTGGATCATTAGATGGGCTTGTGGATGGTTTTCATTCCTTGTTTATTTTATTCATTTGATTCAGTTGCTCATCTTCATGTCTTCTTATTTCAGGAGCAAGAGGAGTTAACCTCAACAAGTTACCCGGAATACTACATTGATCAAATGAAAAGCCTCCATTCGGTAAGTGTTTATTTCATGGCCATTAAGTTCCAGAATTGTAATGGAGGTATTTTGAATGTGAAGATGGGTGATGCACAGGAATGCATGTGAACTGTGTGTTGTCTAGTCCCTTGTAAACAAGTTTTAAACCCTTTTGGCCAGCAATGAAAATGGTGCTATAGAAATTACTGTTATTATTAATATTATTATCATTTTATTGTTATTTTTTTATCAAACAGCATTTGTGAAAAGAATGTATGTGTTCTTGTGCTAGACAGGCTTTTAGCCAGAGACTGAAATTTGGACATCAAGTGAGATTTTTTTGCCATAAAATTATCAGAGATTACTTGGTGTGTTTTCTTTGAATTTCTTCTGAAATTGTAGTCTACAGTCTCAAGCCATGATGGTATTGATTGCTTACCAAAAGTTGTTTTTTTATTGTTGCTGATACTTCATTCTTGATGAAGATGGTGATTGTGAGAACACATAAAATTGTATTTATTACTGCTATTTCTTTTTATTTATATCTTTGTAACAGGTTTTTGTTGCTAAGAAAGAGGATGAAAATAGAGAAATAGAGTCCAGAACAAAACTAGTTGATGGACTTAAAACTGCACTTAGAACGCAGCCTTTGAGGTAGCAAAGTGGCAAAAAAGTCAATTCTGCATTACGAATGTACCCCCCCCCACAGCTCCACCCATTCCCATCCCTAAAACTTAAATATGTATAGACTTAGTCATAAGGCCAAAAGCGAAGGTCTCATGGGATCTTTAATGAAACTTCTTTCAGAAAAAATTCAACTTTTACCATAAACAAGGAGCAAACTGAATTCTTCCTGAAAAAATAATCTGGTCAGTGGAGAATATTAAAAAACAAACACGTCACCTCGCTGAGTTGTACACCTGAAGCCATGATACAGTCATGCGACACTGGTCAGGGGATACCCCATTTTGACTTTGACAGCTGTCAATTGACCTTAACATGGATGTCCAATATCAAGTTAAACACTGATTATTTGCGCTTTGGACTCATAGCAAGTGTGACATTTCACATCCCCTAGCATGAACAGGCAGACATATGGACAGATGGTCTGATGGACCCATGAGTGTATGTCAAACCAAACTATCTTGCATAGATAACCAAATTTTATTACCCATGGTGCTCGGCTACAATGATTAACTTTGAACTTTTAATTAGTATATTAATATTGTTGCTAAATCATGTGATTTCTGTTGGTTATTGACTAGACTTGTTGTTATGTGTTTTGTTTTGCAGATTTGTGCATAGGTTTATAGAATTAGAAGGTTTAAATTGTTTATTAGATTTCCTAGAAAAAATGGACTTTGAAACAAGGTGGGCTGTTATATATAAAATCTAATTGCACTGTACTTAGAAGAAAGAATACGTAATAAAAATAAATTGATAAAATTAAAGTACATGTGTACCATGTCTTAATTTTTGCATTTTAAAGAACTAAAAGATAAGAAAAAATCGGTTTCATTTTAAGTGTGACGCCGTTATCCTACAAAATTTCGAAATTACTTATCGAGCCATTCTCAAAGGAAATGAGTATGTTATTTAACTTGTATCCAATTTACAAGTCAAAATTAAATTCCGGTTGCCAATTTTATACTAAGGTTGATTTTCAGTTTCCCTTGTTTTCTAATGGTTGGTGGGGAAGGGAAGGGAGGGGGGGAGGTACTCTGGAGTAAAAAAAGGATGGAAGGTCCAAATAAGGCCAAAGTGTTCAACCCAGAAGGAAAGAGAGGTTTAGAATATAACCTCCCATAAGTCCTGTTTTCCTTTGAGCACATACTGAATGATGATAACCCAAGATTTTACTTTTCACCTGAAGTAGTCAACACAAAATTTCTAGCCAAAGGGCAGTCTTTTGAACACAAATTTTATGTTTAAACACATGGTATATTAATTTTGATGTAGTCAATAAAGTTTATTTATTGTTTATGAATTTATTTTTTGTAGCATGGAAGAGCTCATGTACTGGCTCATCCTTCCTGTATCAATATCATTGCTCAGAGTATGAGCACAGAAAATATCAAAACTAAAATACAAGGTAGGTCTATTAACCCTTGAAGTCCTGATGGTGACCAACATCAATTTTCTCCTAACCATATCCACAGATTGTTCAGAGATTAGGTTATAAGAATTAATAAATTGATCACCTATTAAAAGAGAAAATGCTTTGATCTTTTATCAAATTCTCTCAACACATTCTTTAGGGAAATGTATAGAAATTAGTTTGGAGAATTTGTATGTGGATGTTGGGGCTTAAAAGGTTAAACCTTTGTTCAGAACATGGTAGATTTTTCTTCTGCGATTTACAGTTTTCTTTTATCGTGGCTTTTTAGACACTAGCTGTGGAGTTAAGGCTTGTTCCCGATTTTAACTTGTTACCTAGCAAGGTTAGGTCCCGTTGTGGACTAGAGTGTTGGCAGGGGGCTTGTTGCGTGTGTGACATGGAGGTAGTTAAGGCAACCACATTAGTGGTAATCACCCCAGCTTGCTTCCTGTCATTATCTTACTCATCTGGTTTACATATTGTATGAACGGAATTAGTATGAAACATGTCTGTCCAAAACAGCATAACTTTTGACATTTGGTCCAGTAAAACTCTTTTATCATTTAATTGTCAGATAAAAGCAGTCAGGTCTGTTGTAAGATTTTAAGCAAGTGGCTTCAGAGTAGATTGTTCTGTACACCCAGGCTCATTATTTTCCTGTTTGTGATTACAGTTCTAGAAATCTTAGGAGCTGTCTGCCTTGTTCCTGGAGGTCACAAGAAGGCGTTAGATGCCATGACTCACTTTCAGAAGTTTAATGAGGAAAGAACAAGATTTCAGGTTGGTAGAAAACAATTTTTCATGGAAAGAGGATATGATATAAATGTAAAAATTCCACCATTTGAAATTCATATATTTGTGCTGTAGCAAGAGAGATGTTTGTAGAGATGTCAAATGAGAGACTTGTTTGACTTAATGTCCTGTTAAAATGTCTTTAAAGAATTATTCAACATTGCATCAAATTGAGTTTAAGTTTGTTCCCTACCAAGTATGAAATGAAATTCGCATTTTATTCTTTATATTCAAATAAGGTTCACTTGGAAGATTATGTTAGCTAAAGTGTCAAATGCCAAACAGCCATAAATTATTGCAATATCAAAAATATTTTTTGTTTTTAGACACTGATAAATGATTTAGATCGTACCACTGGACACCACAGAGATGAATTTAACTTGAAAATTGCCATCATGTCATTCATCAATGCAGCACTCAAGTATGGAGCAGGCGCTGTAAGTTAACACACAATATCTGCAACAATAATCCCTTGAACTGATCAACATCTCATTTCTCTTTAAATGAAACCACTGGATCACACAAAATAGGTCATGAGAGTTGAGGAAAAAATCACCAAGCTTAAATAACTGGCTTGATTTTCATACAAATTCCCCTAGCTGACAAGATGTTGATGGAGAATAGAGCTAAGTACGTGCTCTTCAATGTTACCTAGGGCTATAGTAGGCTGGGCTCTACTACAAAAGGCCAAGGGCCGGGTAGAGTGAAGATTTTGTCTGGGTAATGTAGAAATGTAAACCCTTATTACTTATTAGTAAAAACAGCACAAGAAAAACACAAAAAATTTTCAAAACCTTGCATTCATTGTACTTGTAAAAATGTACCTTTTCTATCTCTGCACGTACTTAAAAAATTAACAGTTTCTTAATGTTGTGGATTGAGCAATCACCAGATGATGTAATTCAAGAGATTGAAAGGTTACAATATTTTTACAAAAGGACACCCTAGAAATAACCCAAAATTGGTGACAACCTTGTCAGTTGGAGACTGGCTTTTTTCCAGCAAGGATTAAAGTTTAATTTTCTTTTTTTGTTTTTCAAATGCAGGAACATCTTGAATTTCGCATCCATCTTCGGTTTGAGTTTCTAATGCTTGGAATTGAACCAGTAATTGAGAAGTTGCGTACTTTGGAAAATGCAACACTGGATAGGTATCAAAATTTAATGTCCCTTCAATTTGTGGTGTCACTTGCATTTTATGAGAAAGATTAACAATAAAAGCAACATTTTCATGGCTGTATACTGCTATTATGAAGTGTAAATTTTAAATTGGTTAGTTGGTGAGTCTTTTACATGGGGATAACTTCTAGATCTCTTCTTTTGAGAGTTGTTTTGTTTTCTATCTCTTGATTATACGTATTGTAAAGCACATTTATTATAGGAGGTGGAAGTTTGTTGGTAATATTTCTTCACAATCATTTACTTCAAACTTATATTGCTACTACCGAATGATAGTCATAAACTGCTGCTTGCNTTTTGTTTTTCAAATGCAGGAACATCTTGAATTTCGCATCCATCTTCGGTTTGAGTTTCTAATGCTTGGAATTGAACCAGTAATTGAGAAGTTGCGTACTTTGGAAAATGCAACACTGGATAGGTATCAAAATTTAATGTCCCTTCAATTTGTGGTGTCACTTGCATTTTATGAGAAAGATTAACAATAAAAGCAACATTTTCATGGCTGTATACTGCTATTATGAAGTGTAAATTTTAAATTGGTTAGTTGGTGAGTCTTTTACATGGGGATAACTTCTAGATCTCTTCTTTTGAGAGTTGTTTTGTTTTCTATCTCTTGATTATACGTATTGTAAAGCACATTTATTATAGGAGGTGGAAGTTTGTTGGTAATATTTCTTCACAATCATTTACTTCAAACTTATATTGCTACTACCGAATGATAGTCATAAACTGCTGCTTGCCATCATAATCAAGTGTAAGTTTTGAGAACAGGCTTGATAATAATGGCAACAGAGGTTGAAATGTTGTGCTTTAAGAGTTTCACTGATCATTTATGCATTATTCTTGTTATCAGTGGATAATGGCCTTGTTCTTCTTGCAGGCACTTGAACTTTTTTGACATTGTGAGGCTTGATGATGAAAAGGAACTCTCTAAGAGATATGGACAGGTAATTGAAGAGACAAGGGAGTCGCTGCCATGATTTAATAGCTGGCCCCAGTTGTTCGGAAGGTGGATAACGCTAATGAGTGGATAAATCTCTCTCCAGTGGATAGCGTATTGATTTCCTTAACACTTATTTTATACTCAATAGTGATTTATCTGGTGGATGGCGCTATCAAATGTTTGAATAACCAGGGCTTACAAGTTAAATTTAATTTTCCTTTGTTGTTATGTACAGTAACTTTGGATGATGATATTTGAACCGCAAGAGTTCTAGGAAACTAATAGATCAGGGTTATAGTATTTAAAATAACCTTAACATTTTCAAGTTAGTAATACAATGTAGTTGGGTGGGAGGGGGGGTGGGAGTCCTCACCCACAAAGGCTGCCCTAAGGTTTTATGGCTCCCCCCCCTTTCAAAACAAATTTTCTGGATCTGCTATTAACATTTAATTTCATTTTGTTCTATAATGTAAACCTTCATGGATTTGCAAACCTTCGTGGATCTGGATTTAGATTTGTGCAAATTGCCAAGTGGAAACCACTTGTAAATAAATTATCTGAACCCCATTTGTTTAAGCGTCGGATAGTGCTATCCACCGGATGAATCTCTGTCCAATTCCATTGGATAAGACTAGGGAAACCAGTTGCGCCATCCACTAGATAGAGATTTATCCAGCGGAGAGTGCTATCCCCTGGATAAATCACTATCAAGCAGATAAATATTAGGGAAACCAGTTGCAACATCCACTGTATAGAGATTTATCCAGCGGATAGCATTATTCACCTTTTTAACAACTGCAGCCTGCTTGCCCCAGCTTCATCTTTCAAATCATTTTATTGCTCTTGTACTTTACTAAATTAATTTCTTAACAGTCTGAGGTATCTTTATTTTGCCTTTTCTTATTACTAGCCATATATTGATCTGCGGAGCGCCACTTGTATGTTTGAAGTTCTCAGAAGAAAACTCTGTACCACGTCAGCTTACCCACACTTCCTGTCCATTTTGCACCACATGCTTCTAGTACCAAGTGAGTTGCCTAATTTTGCATCGTTAAGAAGATTTAAACTTGGCAATTGAAATAAAAAAGGTTGATTTAGTACAGCTAAATTGAAGCAAAATCATTAATCTCTTAGTTACTTTTTCGTTATTTTTTGTGGTTCCGGTAATACCCATTATTTAGGTGAACTACTGGTTTTTTCTAACAGCATACTCCCACGATTTGGCTGATGTCGGTTTTATGAGAACATCACCCAATGTAATAACATAGGAATTTTGCCGAAAAGGGGGTTTATTTTGAAGCTAGTCGAGCCATTTTGTGGTCACTGCCTGGCTATAAAGACCTAAAACTTACCAAAAAGCTGTTTTCAGGTCGTGCACTTCGCGGCCTTCTGTTCGAGATGGAGCTTATCAGGTTCCAAAGTTCGGGCATGCGCAGAAAGCATAATTGTGAAATGTTATGTAAAATAATCCCTCTCTTTTTCCGCTTTTCTAGTCCCGTTTTTTTCCTTTTGGTAGTTTTTTAGTAGACTTTATTTCGATGGGAAAAGTTTTTGGTAAAACTTTTAGGATCGTGGGATTAGGTAGGAGGTAGTTGCAGTAGTTGGGTACTAGTGGAACAAGCCGGATTTTCATCGCAATTTTCGGGTCAACGTTACAGGTTACAGCCTTTTTCTCCGGCCTCATTGACTGAATCGTGCTCATTCTGGCGTGGTTTGAAAGATCTCTTCACCCTGCAGAAGAAAACCGATGACGTCACAAGCGGTGCAAGGGACTAGGTTCCACTCGGGCGGTTAAGCAACAACCGGAAATGGACATTCTTGGGCGTTGGTTTTGCCCACATTCTCGGCCAAAGCGTCTTAAAGCACAATTAGCGTTACAAATTCGGTAGTGGCTTAAGATATTTAAAGGCAACAGGCCTAACTTCCAGTTGACGTGCGTTGGTCAAAAACGCCTTTGCTTAAAGTTCGCTAATTAAGGCTCTCCCGTGTCAAAATTCGTGTCAAGATTTATACCTGTGCATGGCTACCACAGCAGATGTTAATTGGTATTTTGTTGTTTTTCAGATGATCACGGAGTGGCTCGGCGACTGTGGCAGTTGATTGACAGAG